AATATATATATATACATTATATTTGTATACATAAACTATATTAAACTATATATATATATTTACCTATCAATAAAGATATCAGATTTCGATATCCTTTGGCGAGTCGCCAGGCTTGCCTTGGCCCTACAGGGTGAAGCAACGCAATGCTTCAGCATCGATGGGGAGGTGGGATGTAAAATCCATGGGGATCTTGAAATATCTTACATATTCCATGATAAATGGATTAAATGGATGAATGTTACTGGTTGGTGGTTTCAAACATGAATGGATTATTTTCCATTTCATAAAAAAGAGATGACATCCTTCCCATTGACGAACTCATATTTTTCAGAGGGGTTGGTATACCACCAACCAGGTTATTATTAACCATCATTAGCCATATAATAACCATTAATATTAACCATTAGTATATTAACAGTATATTACCAACCAATAGTAGGTTTGTTTTTTTATGTTTACAGATATATATTTGTTTTTGGATCTATAACATCAATGGACAACGGGATGTTGGGATGATAAAGCCCACCATGGCACCATGGTGGATGTAGGGGAGATATGACAGATCCTGGATCAGAGAAGGGGGGGGTGAGTTTTATATTAGGGGGATGGGATATTAACTATTACATCTATGTAAGATAGATGGAATTGAAGATCTATACATGTATAATATATATATATATATACATTATATATATATAATTTAATTTATTCATCAATTTACCCAACCAGTGCTCAGCTGGTCTCCAAAAATCCCCCCCAGGAGTGCTTGTGGAGAAGCGGACCATGGAAATCTAGCGACGGAAAGAGCAAGCACCTTGGCAGGTTGGAATAATGATAAACTGATTGGTGGTTTCAAACATTTTTTATGTTCCACAATATATGGGATAATCCTTCCCATTGACCAATAGTTTTCAATATGGTTAAAACCACCAACCAGTGGAACTCCAGAATAATCCAGAATAAGGATATGCGAGATTAAACACTTTGGTTATAGCAACCAATGGTTACCCTCTGGTAAACTGTTACATAACTAGGGAAATTCAAGATTTTTTAATGTGTAAATCAACTATTTCTATGGCCATGTTAGCAAACTGTCAAATTACCGCGTGGAAACAGGTTTTGAAATATGAGCCCCATCAATCTAGAAATGAACATGGGACAAGTGCTGGCATCCCTTTTTGTCACCCTTTGATATTGCGCGGCCGTGGTTTGGAAAGCCGTCATTTTCTACCCCTTCGTAAAAACCTGGGAAAATCTGGGATTGAAAAGCCAGCAACTTCTCACGTTGCCATGCGGATCCATGTGGCAGATGTGACATACCATCCATCTGGGTAAATTATAACGACCTCACTGTTCTCCCTCACTGGAAATCATGGTTTATAAGGGAAATCATCCCCAAATGGCCGCAAGATTCAGGTGAACGTGAAATATTATAATTTTCCCAGATCCATGGGAATCAAACAAGGATTCAATACATGGAGGTACGTAGTAAACGTACCATGGTTTTGGCCATATGAATTCTGGAGATATTGAAATTTCGGCCTAAAAAATAGGCCTTACATATAGTAGGTACCTCCAATGAACCTGAAATGGCCAGTGAATATCAGGGCATCCATATCTTACAGTATTGTTTTTCTATTGCAGACAGCACCATTGGGAAAGAAATGAAGCTAAAGAAACTGCATCACCATTCCTCCTTTGAAAGTCTGTGATTTTCCTGAATCAACTGAAATCCACAAATTTCCTGAATCAATCTCTTACGTCCAGGTGGAAGTTGCTGATCAATTGCGTCAGCGATGCTGTGCTTTGTCCTTCACTGGGATGCTTTCCGGAGGTTTTTGGGAATTTTGGTTGATAACAACGCCCCTTCCAGGATTCCATTGACTAAATCCTGCGACTATCACCAAAGAGATACCAAATTTCGTGTGTGTTTTCCCGTGGTTTCTGCTTGTTTCGCAGCAATTGAAACCTTCTTGGTAAATCGCTAGCGGCCCGTAGCGATTTTATCTGTTGCGAACGTGTGTGAGTCGACGCACTTGATTTGCGTGCCCCGGAAGTACGTGTGGCTGGGCTTTGATTTGATTCTCTATGGACCATTGGGGAAGGGTGTGGTTGTTCCACCCGCGCAGGAGGATGAACACCCACATGAGCGTTCCAAGTCAGAACATCTTTGAAACTATATTAATAATGTATGTGCATATATATATAATGTACGTGTATATCTATAATATATATATACTGTAAATGCTTCACACTATGTTAAAAACTGTTTGTCTTCAAGAAAGGACATGGCATCGAAGTGGTAACATAACTTAGCTGGAGGTCACTATTTTGAAATGTAATAGAAGCCATTTGTTTCGGGTTTACATTATGAAATATTATTCTTAATGGACATTAGATAATAAGCGGATCCATTCCGGTGCAAGCCATGAGGATCACGAGGCCGATCTCCATAATGCCGGTGATATCAGGTGGTGTCCCATTGTTATTTCCAGAAAATTGATCATTCATTATCCCTATAATTGTTATCCCCTTATAATGATTCTTGATATGTGTTGACATATTCCTAGTTTATTGCATTTCTTTACCATATTCCCATATTGATATATTAATATTTTATATTTATACTAATGTTACAGGTGCTTTTGTTCCCATATTCCCATATGTTCCGGTGCTTTTACCCTCTGGTTATTCAACATAGCCATGGAAAATGGCCCATAGAAACAGATGATTTTCCCAGCTGGAAACCTCCATTTATTTCAGGGATTTTCCAGTTCGCTATGTTAGTCATAGCCAGATGGTAACAGTCAATTCCACAAGATAATAATCTATAAATGGTTCAATTCACCAGGATTGGATAAGCCATCGAGCAATATCAGATAATCCACTAACTAATAATTCATTAAACTATTGAGTGATGCTACTGTAAATCATGATTGAATACTCCATTAACCAATATTACAGGGTTGACATCAATGGATTTCACCAGTGATTGTCATTGATGGTCAACAGTATCAAAACTATCCACAGCTCAATTCGCTATAAATCAATGCAATATTGTTGATAATCACTAGTGGGTTTTGTTAACTAATAATTACTTTGTTAACAAAACCATATTATTTATATTCCCATATCCCACTATCCAGATGGTAATATGTTTTACTATCCAGTGGTTTTACTATCCAGGATATGGTTTTAGTGTTTTTTTTACCATATCCCATTTTTTTACCAGTTATAATATGATATTGAATAGTTAATCCAATGGGTTTTGTTAACTAATAATTACTTTGAGTGATGCTACTGTAAATCATGATTGAATAATCCATACACCAATATTATATAATATTACAGGGTTGACATCAATGGATTTCACCAGTGATTGTCACAATGTTAACTAAATGGTAACCATTGGTTCTCACAGATTTTCGCCGAGGCTCCAGCCTCCATTCAGCGCCGTCTGCTGGCCGCGATGCTGGACGCGGAATCGCGTGGAGCACCTTGGAGCACCGTGAATCCGACCAACTTCGGTGGTCAAAATGGGTGGGTTTTACCCAACCTGGTTATGTCAAAATGGTAAATGGAATTAACCAAACTGGTAAATGGAGGTTTTAATGGGAAAACCATAGGAAAACCATAGGAAAATGGAGGTTTACCCTCTGGTAAACAAACAGTTTGCTATTGAAAATGGTCCATTTATAATTGATTTACCGAGTAAAAATGGTGATTTTCCGTCGTTTTTTGTATGTTTACCAGAGGGTCATGGTAGCTTTTAATAGAAAATAGCTGGTAACATTGTAGGAACCACCATTAAAATAATATCAAAATCGTAGGTTTTAACATCTAACGGTGGTTTTAACATTTATTAGAAAATAATGGAAAATTCTACTTTGATTACTGGTTGGTGGTTTGGAACATTTTTTATTGTTCCATATACTGGGAATGTCATCATCCCAACTGACTTTCATATTTTTTTTCAGAGGGGTAGGTATACCACCAACCAGATTAACATTGTAGGCATTAAACCACCAATTCTTATTCACACATTCAATTCTGATGGAGAATAGCTGGTTCTATATACTTTGAATTGGGTTTTAGAATAGCTAAATATGGTGAACTAACATAGCAATGAAAAATGGCCATTAATAGTGGATTTTCCCATTAAAAATGGTGATTTCCCATTGCTATGTTAGTTCACCAGAGGGTAGCTAAATATGGTGAACATGTGATGTATGAATGGAAAAAATGAAGGGGATATGAAATGGAAATCCCATTGAACTGGAGTTCGTAGTTCAATGTGGTTTTGCCATCTGGTTATGACATTCACAGTTTGCCATGGAAAGATCCACCATTTTTTAAGAACGGTAAACCATCTATTTCTATAGGCCATCTATACCATGGCGAACTGTTAGTCATAACCAGAGGGTACATGGTTTAAAAGGGCGGAAGAGGCGAAAGCACTCGCCATGGTAGTGACCTCAGAAGCCTCCGAGCTTGTCAAGCCAGACCACTGGTGTGATGGTTTTCATGGCTTTGTTTCAGGTTATCAATGGGAGATCTTCAGGATCGTAAAATAGAGGTGTTGTACAATATAAGGCCATATTTTGCTTGGAGATTCCCTTACATAGGCCTTAAAAAAAGGCCATATATATATATGGTAGGTACCTCCAATTTAGGATCCTGGAATGACCATTGAAGTGATGAAGTTGACTTTTCCAATGGTTAATATACCATGGGGGCATCCTGCTTGGGGATATCTTGTTTCTTTGGCGCTAACTTGCAGGTTTATGTACTTTGAATTGTTTTTTTATGTTTTTTTAATGTAGTTCCTTGCGACTTCATGGATGATATATTATCTGGTTGGTGGTTTGGAACATTTTTCCATATATTGGGAATAGTAACCCCAACTGACTAATATTTTTCAGAGGGGTAGGTATACCACCAACCAGTTATGGTTTGATCTGGGGTTGACGGAAAGTGTGCCTAAATCCACTCCACCTTCAGGTCTTTGTCTCCAACGGCGTCGAAGCATTCATCGTCACGCTGGCTCAACGGGTGGGGAGACCGTAGGACGATTCTGGCAGGTATACTTACCCTCTGGTCATGTCAAAATAGCTATTGAACATGGTGATTTATAGTGGATTTACCCATTGAAAATGGTGATTTTCCATAGTTATGTAACAGTTTACCAAAGGGTAGAAGGTCCCAGTAAGTTAGAATAGTATGGTGAATTTAAGATCTATGTCCCCCATTTACATGATATGAATATTGATCTACCTTCATTAATTTCATCGATTCTATGGATCATTTTAAACATTCCGGGCCAGCGAACAGTCCTTAAAAACTCTCAAGAAAATGACACGGTGAACACCAGAACCCAAGAGATTTCGATTGCTCGCAGGGTCGTCTGTTTGGTTCTTGAAACACAGTCCTTACTACAGGATGGGGCCCCCAAGATAGCTAAGTTGCCTTATAGCTGGCTTAACTATGGTTTATGGTAGATATAACTATAGTTAATTGATGTTAATGGGGTTTATAAACCAACTTACAACTGGGGGGCCCCATCCTGTAGCATAATAACTATCAGCGAGTAATGTAACCCATGGTTGTGTGTATAATGTTGTGATCCAACACTCTGCTTGTCGGATATGCTTACTGATTTGATATCACAGAACACATGTATCATTCTATCTCATATCCGCTTTCTTTGAAGGAACTCAATTACTGACTCGCAGATGTTCTCCCAACTTATCATAGCAATGAATGTGCTGACTAGTTGTATCTCAATCTACTCTCAGTTGTTCTCTCTCAATACTGGAGCTATGGCCATCGAGAGATTGTGTGAAGCCTAGATTGGCAGAGCTCGTTGCCCGAGAGATCATCGACAGTGCCACAAGGTTCGCAGACTGGCAGACTGGTGCATCCTGATAAGAGACGCGTAATCCCTGGCTGGTGGTTTGTAACATGAATTTTATTTTTCCCATATATTGGGAATGTCATCATCCCAATTAACCATCATTAACCACTATTGACCATAGGGGTTTAAACCACCAACCAGATCCTTATTCTTCTATCTTTGGTGAAAGCTTCACACCAGAATCATCACAGCCGGAGAGGAGAGGATTGGGTTGCGCATCACCACCTCACGGGGACGTTGACGACGTTGACTGATGTCCCTCATTGGTTTCATCTCAATGCGCATTCGGTGGAACAACGGTAATGAGCGAGAACCAGTAAACCAATGAGGGCAATTGAGACATCTCATTGGTTTCACCCTCATTGGTTTCATCTCAATTGAGGGTTTTTCATCTCAAGGTGTAATGAGCGGTGGGCAAAGGACCAGTAAAAAACCTCATGTCACCTGATTTGGGCGAGAACCCGGGCTGTACTCGAATCCTCCCAAGTGGTGGTCATCTCTCCCCCTCTATCAGTTCCATCAGTTGAAATCTTGATTTTTTGTTTGATGGTTAATAATGGTTAATGATGGTTAATGATGGTAAATGATGGTTAATCAGTGGTATATTATATCTTTGATTTTTTGATTAACCATCAATGATTAACCATCATTTACCATCATTAACCAACAACCACTTAAACACAGAACCAACATTACCAACAAACCAATGATGTTAACCACTATTAACCACTATTTTTCTCGATATCACCAACTGATGTTTTGGGGCTAAAATCTTCACCAAGAACCACTTAAAGCATCAGAACCGCATACCAATGACCTAAAAAAATGTCTGTTGGAGTCTCCGGACCAAAAAAGGTGCCACCAAAATTTAGGTGCCACCAGTCTGATATGGGGATAGGTTGCTGGTGGATAATGGTGGTTAATAGTGGTTAATAGTGGTTAATAGTGGTTAATGAGATAGTCTGGTTGGTGGTTTGGAACATGAATGGACTATGACTTTCCCAAATATTGGGAATTTCATATAATCACAATTGACGAACTCATATTTTTCAGAGGGGTAATATAACAATGATACGCTTTGGAAATAAAAATTGCTGCCACATCTTCTGAGTAGAAATAAGTAGCCCTAAGACACAAAAATCCAGTAGGTTATAGTAATATAGTTTCTATGGCCCTAAAATATTGGGATACTGAGAATAATCAAACTATAGATAGTTTAGGGCCATATATTATCCCAATAGAAACATACCCTATTATCCCAATAGAAACTATGGCCCTATTCGGGTCTGTCTCAAAAAAAGAAAAAAAACACCCTCACTTCCAATGGATTAACAATGACTAGCACCTAATGTTCCCTATTTATCGCAAGGGAAATTGTGTTTGCTTCCCCCCATTTTCAGACAAATCAACGTTCCATCATGGTTTTTGGGGGGAATGGATGGACTCAACCGCCAAGTTTTGAGTGTTGCTTCATGTTCCATGTGATTTTTCCGTTGTTTTTTCAATGGGAGATCTTCAGGATCCTAAAATGGAGGTACTGTACCATATTGTACCATATAAGGCCATATTTTGTGGGAATATTCCCTTACATAGGCCTAAAAAATAGGCCTTATATATGGTAGGTACCTCCAATTTAGGTTCCTAAAATGGCCATTGAACAAACCAACGTTCATGTTTTTTCGGGGGAATGGATGGACTCAACCACCAAGTTTTGAGTGTTGGTTCATGTTCCATGTTATTTTTTCCGTTGTTTTTGTTTCCGCCTTTGATAATCAGGACATCTATGATACCGCACCCACAAAAAGTTTTGTATTGACATGGATTTGTATGTTTTGACCTATTGATTTTTGGGGCCCTTCATAGGCAGGAAATTAAAAGGGTTACTCCAGTATATATATAGTAGAAACACAGGGGAGAAAAATCGTAGGGTTTATTCAAATCAAGCCAAACTACAATTAGAGACACAATACATGTATTCCTTGATATTTCTAGAAAAACATAATATATACGTATATATATATACACACCTACAACCAAGTGGGTTTTACCAGTTTTACCTCTCTCCATTTGCTCAACCTTCAACAGCGTGTTGTGAGCTTGCCAGCCGAGGCATGCGCGGGCAAGGCAGGGGCTGCAGCTGGGGTCAGCTGGGCTCGGCTTGTGGGTTTCGGAAAATGGAAGAGATATAAAGAGATACGTGGTTTTCATTGTTTTTCCATAGGGTCATAATAGGATTTTGATACATGATAATGATATAATGATACGACATGATAGGAATTTCATTGGTTTTTCCAATGGGTTATATATTGTTTCTATAGGGTTAGGGAACATGATGAGTATCGAACTAGTCCCGAGAACGTGGTGAAACACCACATCTGAACATCAGTTGAAGGTCCGTAAAAGGTCGTGTCAATGATGACATCAGCCAATCATGATGATTGTTGAAATGTCCAAAACTGTGGTAATTTGATGTAATTTGCACACTTTCTTTTTTTGGCAAATGTGTGGTTGATTTTTTGTGGAAGGGTCACCTCAAAATTGCAAAATGTAGTGTTTTACCACAACGAAACTGTTACTTTTTTGTACCCAGAGCTTCGTGTAAGAGTTTATTTTTTTCTTCAAGCACAAAGTTTGCCAAGTTTGTTGAGGACTTTGCCTGCGACGCTGGTGCGCCAGACAGCAGCATACAAGTGCTTCCAAAGTATTTGAAAGTATTGTCTCTTTGTGTGTGTAACTGCCTTTGAATTGGAATCTTTAACCAATCAGCAGCGTAGCATGACGTATGCGTGGAAGTCCAAGAGAACGTTCTTAGCCCACCCCACCCCATCCCCACCTCCCAAAAAATCAACATGCGCATGGCCTCTTACTGGCGCTGACACCTGAAACATATATACATACAGAACTAAGGACAAAAATCAATAAAAATTACCATTACATCATTCCTTCACTTGGAAGCGCAGTTCCTGTGAACTATGGGGTCTATTCTGAATATAACAAGTCACCTGACCTGTGCTGGTGATGGAAAAAATGTTAGGTGCATCTATGGAAAATGTTAGATGTAGCCCTGGGCTTTCGACGCTGTAAAGACTTCAATCATCACCCGAGCGGTGTTTCAAGGGGCAATTGCGCAGTGTCCCGTGCAAAAAGAAGCCGGCAGAGGCTTTTGAAGGACATTGAGGGCTGGCTCAAAAATTTTTGCCTTTGCTGCGATTTTTTGCAGCGCCGCTGCGGAGAGATAACCATGGGTTACCCTCTGGTTATGTCAACAGTTTGCTATTGAACATGGCCATAGAAATAGTTGATTTAAAATGGTGATTTTCCATAGTTATGCTAGTTTGCCAGAGGGTATATCCATGTGTAACCTCTGCACCACACGCACGAAACATGGTAAAGGAAAACCTCCCAGGTCCGACAAGGTCCGAGTTTACCAGCCAAATGTCATGAAAAAATCGTCTTCGATCCCGTGAAAATCCCATTACCCTCTGGTAATTTGTTACATAGCTATTGAAAATGGCCATAGAAATAGTGAGTTTTCCCACTAAAAATTGTAATTTTCCATAGCTATGTAACAAATTACCAGAGGGTAGAGCCCATTAAGATCTATGCAAATTTGATCAAAATCCTCTCAAGATCTACTCGATTCCCATTATAGCATGTTTAAGTCCAATAACGCCTCCCTCAAATCCCCATCATAGCAGGAGTTTTTGTTTGTGCGGACTGGTGATCTTACTGGTGCCAAACGCAGGGAATGCGGGAATGATGCATAATAAGAAATAATAATCCCATTCCCCCAGTCCCATCCATTCCCTACGTAAAACGCGCCAGTAAGTAAAGTAAGATTGTTAAAAAACAATCATTAACCATCATTAACCATCATTAACCACTATTAACCACTATTAACAATCACTAACCACTATTAACAACTATTAACCACTATTAACAACTATTAACCACTATTAACAATCACTAACCACTATTAACAACTATTAACCACTATTAACAACTATTAACCACTATTAACCATCATTAACCATCAGTAAGTGATTTGGAAATCCAGGTAGCGCAGCATGCCTTGCTTCGGCGGTTGCAGCTTCCATCGCCCCAGAGCGCTGTGGTCACTGAGGTGGTCACGGACGGATGGCACCGAAAAATAAATCGATGCAGAAAATGACCATACAGTTTAATATGGTTTAATATGGTTTAATATGGTTTAATATGGTTTAATAGTAACCATCTAATAGTATTCAACTAATAACTAATCTAATGACTAATAATAACTATCTAATAGTAACCATACAGACAATGACTAATAATAACTATCTAATAGTATAATAGGTTATTATAGTATAATAACTAATAGTATTCAACTAATAGTATTCAGCTATAATAGTTATAGTTACAATAACTAATAGTATCTGGTTGGTGGTTTGGAACATTTTTTTATGGTGGATTAACATGGTTTAATATGGTTTTAAAGGGATGATTTTGGGACAATGACGAGATAATACTGGGATATTGATAGATAGTATTATAATAACTAATAGTATTCAACTAATAACTAATAGTATTATAATAACCTATTGTACTAAATGATCATCGATTATAATCGAAGGAAGTTTAGAAGTCAAACTTCCGACAATATGGACAGATGAAAAGCAGAGGTCGTAAGAGTCAAAGAAGAGAAGAGAAGAGAAGAGAAGAGAAGAAGAAAGAAGATCAAAAAGAGAACTATAGTATGATCATAATAACCTATTGTACTAAATGATCATCGATTATAATAATTAATAGTATTTAAACTATCATCAATAACAATAAACCACCTATTCTACTGTGGGTAAAACAATGCCATAAACCACCTATTTGGGAAATAGTAACCATACCACCTATAAAAATTGTGATGACTGGGGGATGGTTTATTATTGTTTACCCACATCACAATAGTACTAAAGATGAATAGCATAGCATATTTATCCCAAAATCAAAATTGTTATGTGTATTATTAAGATTTATTTCACACTTATTCCAAAATGATCAGTTTCTTGTGGGAAAATGATGGTCTGATGAGATTATAAAGGGAATGCTTGAACAAAATTAAATGATTTAATTTAGTCAGTGGTATTTAAAGGGATTCTAATCTTGGATTTGCTGATTCGGGGTCCCCCAAAATAACACATATTCACTATAGATTCCCCAGTCATGGTGGATTTCCTATTGGAAAAATAAATAAATCACCTTAAACAAAACCCATTACCCTCTGGTAATTTGTTACATAGCTATGGGAAAATCACCATTTTGTAGCTGGGAAAATCCACTAGTAATGGCCATTTTCAATAGCTACGTAACAAATTACCAGAGGGTAATGGGAATAGATTAGGGATATACCGATATACTCCATATTCAGACCAAGCCATATAAACTGCCCATTGGAATCCCCTGATCGTCATAAGCGGTCCTGCGTGGCCGTGCTTAAGCGGTAACCTAGGCTTAACCCAGTCATATCACTATAAAATATGCATACATTTAAAAAGGATAAAACATATTATTTTACATATATATTAATATATATATACATATTAATATACATACGGGACAAGCCCATTAAAGGGACGACCTGACCAAGGTTATGAAAAATGCTTTCCGTCTTTCCATCGGGATCTACTATTGTGAACAGCTGTGCAAAACCCAAACGAGTAAGTCCTCATGCGCCCATTTCACATTCCACCCCTCGTTGGTCGCACAGTGCAATGGGTCACTTATTGGTGTAAGCCATGTCTAATCCTTCATTCAAAACGCGCAAACCACCACATCATCAGGAAGATCAAGCAATCACAACTTGGATCAATTTGGATGTAATTGATCAACACCAATTGTTCATTCAAAAAGCATGGAAAGTATGGAATGTGATATACCCCCATCCTTCAACTATCATTAATAGACATCATATGAACCAGCATTTAATATCCACCATTTATTATCCAATGATATCCTGGACCATATTGGTTTAATCCATATAATGGTGGATATCATAGAACCATTGATTATAATAGTTTATATGGTTTAATGCGTTTTTTAACCATCGAAACCATGGTGTTTCTTCGCCGATGTGTTTTCCCCACTGGTTGGTTGATTTTAATAGGGAGTCTCACCATTCAACAACCAATAGGTACATGATAAACTGATAAATCTATGGATATCTATATGGTTTATGGTACTTGATGATAACTATGGAATATCATCTGAGTCATAATGGGAAGATCATGGGGATCCTTTGAAATAACTGGTTGGTGGTTTAGAACATGTTTTTCCCATTTAGTTGGGAATGTCATTATCCCAACGGACTCTCACTCCATCATTTTTCAGAGGGGTAGGTGGTTCAACCACCAACCAGCCCATGTTTTAACCAATGATTAACCATCATTAACCATTATTAACCACTATTAACCATTACTAATTACTGTTTTCCTATGTTTTTCCTATGGTGAGATGGGATGGAGACAGGTTCAGAAATGGGGATTTTTCATCATGAAAAGAACTGGTGAAGTTCACCAGCAAAGGAACTGGTCAAGTTTTTTCGGCTAAGCACGAAAGATATGTACCCTCTGGTAATTTAACATAGCTATTGAAAATGACCATTAATAGTGGATTTCCCCATTAAAAATGGTGATTTTCAATAGCTATGTTAAATTACCAGAGGGTAACTATTGTTAACTATTGTACAATATCTATGTGTCATATATTGTTAAGATATATATCTATATGTCACAACTATTGTACAACTATATAGTTGTAGATATATGTAAATATATAGTTACAATAGTTTCAACATTCAACCACCCAAATGTCGATGTATCTATTAAAATTTGGGCATTGACGAAGTGAACATTTCCCATGCTTGGAAATACAAACGAAGAATCAGAGAACTGTAATATATTGATATAGTATTGTTGTTTGTGTGTATACATATGTCATATGTGATAGTGATGGTGATAGTGATGATTATGGTCATGGCCAGGACTATGCAGATAGCAACCTAGTGAAGTAGAAATATAGTGTTTAATCATGTGTCAGGATATACAGGATCATACATGTTATGTACCTGATGACTTTAATATCTGCGTGTATTATATATACCGTCTGGTAATTTAAAATAGTTATGGAAAATGGACCATTCATAGATGATTTATGATGATTTTACCTATTAATAGCATGGTGATTTTCCATGGGTTTCGTTAAATAACCAGAGGCTATATATCCCATAGGATCCATGTATGCTATATATGCTAATATTTACCATCAATATACCCCAAATGTTAGCATATATACCATACATGGATCCTATGGGTATATTGATACAGATACGTATCAACATTTGACCAAATCTGAGGATGTGAAAAACACATCCCGATCTCTGAAATCCCCATGTGTTGCCGGGATGTTTGCTTCAACCCCAAGGGTGTTTGTTCTCAAACGATCTTAGCCGATCATATTCCATGATCTATTTAAAAAACCTATGGCATAAATGAAACATATGGTTTCTTAATGATGTAATTATGTATTTCTATATGTAATATTACATTACATCATATTCAATGTTTTTTACCCGTTGTTCTGAAAAAACACCACAATATTGCGGCAAACACTTCCGTATACCATTCGGTGGCGTTCAGCGCGGGTGAACGCTTAAATTCGATGTTTTGCCGTGGCAAAAAATCTGAGAAATGTGATGATCTCATGATCCGAAATAACGGTGGATGTAAAAAATCCCCAACCAATTCACCAATTCCACCCATGTTTTTTGTCACGAATGTTCACGATAGGAATCTCAAATCTCATCCCAAATCAGAAAGAAAAAATCCCATGAATCTTCATGATACCCTCTGGTTATGATTAACAGTTTGCCATGGAAAATCACCATGCTATTAATAGGTAAACCATCTATAAATGGGCCATCGAAAAACCATGGCGAACTGTTAGTCATAGCCAGATGGCAACCATCTCCCAGTGAAAAATCCAGCATTTTCTCCGGAGAAAAATGAAAAAACGCAGGCCTCGGGCGAAGAGCTGGCCCAAAGAGCTGAGCAAGAACAGATGTGCCTGGGCGTGGGAGGTTTTCATGGCTTTTGGGAAATGGTGGTTTCCATAGTCATGGAGGTACCCCAAAAACGCTGCATGGTTTATAGTGGAAAATCCTATTTATAGTGGGAACTATTTATAGTTTTTTATAATAGTAGAAATCATCTAGAATATATTGTTGGAAATGTTGGACTCATTTTGTAGAAATCGTAAATAGTTCATAAATGTTGATGAATACATGAACAATGACCATTTCAGGAACCGATTGATTGAAGGTACCTACCATATATAAGGCCTATTTTTTAGGCCTATGTTTGCGAGAATATACCCAAAAAATATGGCCAAACATATGGTACGTTTACGTACCTCCATTTGTTGGATCCCGGAGATCTCCCATTGATTATATACCAATGATTAACCATCATTAATCATTATTAAGCATCATTAACCATTATTAACCATTATTAACCATCCCAAATTTACATTATACCAATGATTAACCATCATTAACCATCATTAACTATTAACCACTATCAACCACTATTTTTCAGTCAGATGATTTACATTGATTTGGAAATCTTGGAATAGACATCAGGCACCAGAGACCCCAGAGGTGGCCCTGGAGCGATCCAAAGGACACGAAAAAACACCTGGTCCGCATCGTCAAAGTAGGAGTTTTTTGGGGCACCTGAATTCAGATAGTAATTAATGAGATTTATAATATATATATATAGATAGATAGATATATATATATACATATATATATACATATATATATACGTATATATATATACATATATATATATATGAAATTTATACATATATAGAGTTAAGCCAGCCAGAACCCAAACTTCCCAAAACCGACCTGAATATCAACCAACCGACATCAACCGACATCAACCGACATCAACCGACATCAACCGACCATATGTTTAGCTGGTATCGTTTCCTTTTTTTTAATGGTACTGGAAGTCTTAGGTTTTGATGGATATCAGTACGTAACGGATAACGATGGATATCCACCAACCCGGATCGTATATCGATATTTCTGGATCTGATTGGGATAGTGATGGATATTGATCATAATGCTGGGTAAATTTCATCACGACCGAGCCCTGTTCTCCCGAACCCTGGAATCATGGTTTTTTATAGGGAAATCATCCCCAAATGGCCGCAAGATTCAGGTGAACGTGAATTATTATAATTTACCCAGATAATGGATACTAGTGGATATTCATTGGTTGATTTGGATCACCACAGTCTATTGGTGGCACATGTTTTATCAACCAAAGTAACATTGACTGACTGATACCCGGCCTGGTAAACGTTTACAGTTTGCTATTGAAAAATGACCATTTTATAGTTGATTTATCTATGAAAAGTGGGGATTTTCCATAGTTTTTTCTATGTTTACCAGGCCGGGTTTGGATATGTTCAGAACGGCAGTGTGGGATATTGATGGAAATGAGTGGATTACTTTGATGGGTAATGAGCATGAAACGGTCGGATTATAAGATGATGAAGTATCAACCGGTCGGTTGATAGAGTCCCTAGCGACATGATAAAACCAAGCGAAAGTATTCTAATATAGTACCCCAAACAATTATACTATATACATATATATATACACACATATTAATTATACTGGTGTTGTTATTGCAATGTAATTGTAACATATCGTAACATATTCGGATTCAGGACCAACATATTGACAAGTTGTTGGATATTAAGGCAGGAGATCACAAGGGTTCTTCAGGAGCAATCGACTCTGCGATGTTGAGCTGATAATTTGAATGTGTTTTTCTCGCCTTTTTCATGGGGGAAATCTTAATGCCCAGTTGAAGATTGAGTTTGCTGCTGGGTAATGATTCAAGATTGGCTATGCCAGTGGGCATGTACAAAAGCGTTAGTGATTTGACAGCGATCTACTGTTTAACCTTCCAGCAACTTAGGTAAACAGTCTAATTATACTGTTTGGTCCAGTTCTATGTTTCTTGATCTTGTAGCCAGTGAACAAAGATGGCAACAAACAACTGTGACAAAGAAATAGACGTCATGTCATGTCCCAACGTGCAAAGGCATGGCATGTCCGTCGTTGGAAGGTGTCCTCAAAATGACGACGATCTGGTTATGACTAACAGTTTGCCATGGAAAGATCCACCATTTTTAATACCTAAACCCAGGTAAACCATCTATTTCTATGGGCCATCTATACCATGGCGAACTGTTAAATAACCAGGAGTATTTGGAAACAAACGACATTTCTACTTACAGTACTTGGTCAATGGCCATTTCAGGAACCGATTGATTGGAGGTACCTACCATATATAAGGCCTATTTTTTAGGCCTATGTAATGGAATATTCCCACAAAATATGGCCAAACATATGGTACTAACGTACCTCCATTTTAGGATCCTGGAATTCCCATTGACTTGCTGGTTCATCCCACTTTGTGAGTAGGTTATATCATGGTATATTCCTTTTCAAAAATTGGGTAAGTAGGATTACTCCACGTACAAGTAGGGTTATAACCCACTTACCAAGATGTCCCAGAGTTTTCCATGGCCCATGGCTTTTTGGTCGAGTTTTTTCCTGAGCCAGAAAGGACCACCACTATCCTATTTTTCAGTGACTGGTTGGTGCTTTGGAACATGAATTTTATGTTTCCATTCAGTTGGAATCATCATCCCAACTGACTTTCACTCCATCATTTTTCATGGGGGTTGGTGGCTCAACCAACAACCAGTCATAATTAACCAATGATTAACCATCATTAACCATTATTAACCACTATTAACCATTACTAATTACTATTTTCCTATGGTTTTCCTATGGTGAGATGGGATGGGAACCAACAAATCCAGATGTGCATCTCAGCAGGGGCTGATGTGTTTTTGTTCAGAAGCAGAGGAAGCCGCGAAGCCGCTGGATAAGGAGCAGTAACATGGACATTCAGGAGCAGTATTAATGGTTATAAAATGGTTATAAAATGGTTAAGGAGCAGTATTAATGACAAAGCTCAGAATGCTCCTCATGGTTATATAAATGGTTTTCTTTTAAAGTATGAATTATAGATGATACCCCAGTCGGCGGGTTATAATCCACTTACTAAATGTGATACACCCCCCAAGCAAAACTTGGGTATTCACATCCAAAATCAACCCATCCCCCCAACATTAAATACACCCCACATGTGCCCTCAAAGTCAACAAATCCAATGCTAAACCAGGTTTCTGGGTGGCATTTCATGTTGGGGGAGGGGATGGAATGATGAATTACATCTATTCTCTGGTAAACATAGAAAAAGCTCTTGAAAATGGCCCAGTCGAAATAGTGGATTTACCATGATTTACCCAGCTACAAAATAGTGATGTTCCATAGTTATGTAACAGTTTACCAGAGGGTAGTTCCACCAATCATAGGGCCATCCATGGCACTTTTTTTCATCGTATGGCAACTGGAGATGTGAATGAATCCATGGAAATTACACCCGACTACCATGGAAATCTGGATTAGTCGCTACAAGCCTCGTATACCCGGCCTGGTAAACATACCAAAAAAACTATTGAAAATCACCATTTTTTGTGGGGTAAACCGGTAAACCAATTATTTCTATGGCCATTAATGGGACTTCTGGCCGCTACAGGCAATACCCCTTGCTGCTGAAGCCAAATGCAGGCGCCAGCGCCGGAACAGGGCCCAGTCTCCACAGAAAGAACTGGTAGCGGTTGACGACCTGATGTATTAATCATACACTGAGATTTACCCAACCTGGTTATGTCAACAGTTTGCTATTGAAAATGGCCATAGAAATAGTTGATTTTCCCAGCTACCAAATGGTGATTTTCCATAGCAAACTGTTAGGCTGTTTACCAGAGGGTAACCAAAAATTGAGTCATGAACAAGATACCCTGGTGAACCAGGGTCATTGTAAGCAGTTTTTGGCTGTCATTAAACGACTGGTTGGTGGTTTGGAACATTTTTTATTGTTCCATTCAGTTGGGAATGTCATCATCCCAACTGACTTTCACTCCATCATTTTCAGAGGGGTTGGTGGCTCAACCACCAACCAGATGAGTAGCTGGCAACCCATGGTTTTGGAGATCCTCCGATTAAGAAACCACCATTACTGTAGCTGGGGCAGCATCGACACAGGTGGTTTCGGCAACGGCATCCTGCGCTTCGACAGCAGCGCGGCCTTGCGCGCCTCTGTCCAAGCGGAGTTGAAAGGCGCCTTTGGAGAGGACCGGCGCCTTTGTGGGACATGGTTAAATTTCCATGGGATTTATTTAGGCAAACCATATGAAACCATAATGGTGGCAAATTTCCATGTCAAAACAGATATAGAAACCATTTGAATGCCAATTATTTGGTTTTTATTTAGGTTATGATTGTTTGCTATATCTGTTTTTGACGCATTTCATGGGATTTTAATTGGTTTTACCTGGTTTGAATGAGGGATTTCGTGGGATTGTAACCAGAAAAGTTCTGCTTTTTTCATTGGCCAAAATGACCATCAATTTGTGGGTACCTTGTCAAGTTCCAATCACCAAGATGATGATCTGAAAAGCAAATGGAGATTTAATGAAAAGTTGTTTTTTGGTTTTGAATATGGTTAATAGTGGTTATATAATAGTGGTTAATAGTGGTTGAAAATGGAGGTTTATAGCTGGGAAAATCAACTATCATATGGGTTTAATAGGTACGGTATATACCCTCTGGTAAACTGTTACAAAAAACGATGGAAAGATCCACCACTTTGTAGCTGGGAAAACTCACTATTTCAATGGCCATTTTTCATAGTTTTTTGTATGTTTACCAGAGGCTAGGCAATTTCGATTAATTACTTTACCATGGGTAATAAATGTTGATTAATTACTTAATTATCCATTAATGGATTAAACCAGTTTTTGAATATATTGGTTAATTTGGGTACTTATAGTCAAAATGGTTTCAGCGATAAGAGTTGGACAACCGTAGTAATCTGACCATAAATTGTCGATGGAAAACCAAGAGGAATTATATCCCATTGTTGGTTAAAATATCCACCACTTATATTTTGCTGGTTGAAAAGCATTGTAAACCTTACAATAGCCATTGTCGATTATAATCATGGTTGGCTATTATAACCATTATATAACCACTTATAAAATATGTTTCATCCCGACTTGGTTAAATCATAGCAAGATGGTTAAATAGTTAAATGGATAATCCTTCCCATTGACTTTCATATTTTTCAAGATGGTTAAAACCACCAACCAGTCATTCTATAATGTACATTGATGGTTAAAAAATGTATCTATAGTCCTACCTATTTTTTTAGCGTTTCCCAAGTTCCCATTATATATAACCATTATATATATATACATATAACCACTTACAGAAGTTGCTCGACCTCTACAACGAGGTAGCCACCGAGACCGGCAAGGAGACAAAGTTCCTGGAGAATTTGTCGTCATTGCATAGTGGCCATATCTTGATCAAGCTGAGCGGACTCTTCGAGACCTCCAAGAGGGTGGAGGTTCCATTCTACAAGGTGACCGAGCTCCTCCTGTCCATGATGTACGACGCACAGAACGAGTCCTATCCGGAGGACGCGGCGATCTACTTGGAGATCCTGTCGTGCGCTGCCATGATGTCCATGATGCAGTCCAGCAGCATCTCCTTGGCTTTGGATTCTTCTGTGGGGGCTCTGCCGACTCCTTTGAAATTCCAAAATTATATTTTCCTATATATTGGGAATGTCATAATCCCAACTGACGAACTCATATTGTTCAGGGGGGTAGGTTGAAACCACCAACCAGCCATAATTAATCAATGATTAACCAGCATTAACCACTATTAACCATTATTAACCACTATCATCCTATTATTGTTGGTTAAATCCATTGAAAAATCCCGACGACGCCGGGCGCACGTCCCATTTTTAAAAGATCCATTGAGTAGGTCGGTCATTTTTTCACGGCCATGGCGATGCTGCAGGCGCACGAATCCCAGTACTGAGCCAGAAAAGACCATGATTAGCAGTTCGACCCTGAAAATCACCCATTTTTGGAGGAAACTACTCTTCCAACCCCGATGACTGCCAGGGTCTATGTGGTCGAACTGTTAATTTACTGGAGGGTATAATCCTTATATTTTGCTGGTTGAAACCCTATTTATAAGTGGTTGCTAAATACCCATCAAATCACCCATTAAAGCCCCGGAAAAAATCACCTTTTTTGGTTTGTTGATGCCCAAGAAATCCCAAGAAAGTCCCCATATGATTCCAAATGTTTCATGCTAGAATCTGTACCCATCAACGTCCAAGTATTTCTAGCCCAATGAACTCTGAATAACCATTCTCTATCATTATGAACCAGTAACTGCTTGGTTTTTATGGTTAATAATGGTTAATAGTGGTTAATGATGGTTAACCATTGGTTAAAACATAGGCGGTACCATACTGACTTGGCGAAGTTGATGAACATAACTGCAATAACTAGGCCTTCTAATATATAATATATGTATAATATATATATAATATTATAATATATATATATAATCAATATTATATATATATATTATAGTATATTATATATATGTATATTATATATTATATATTATATATATACACACATGATGAGGTAAACCCAATCATGATCCCCAAGATCATCATGGTTTGCATCAACATCAACCATCCCCAAATGGTAAGCACCGATCGCCGATCGAGGATGGCTTGGCGGTGCTGCAGGAACAGCACAGGCCACCGGAGATGGACCAGATGGATCAACAAAGACGGCATTTCCCCAAGAAATGGCACATTTATAGTGGATTAACATGGTTTAATATGGTTTTATAAGGATGATAGTGGGATAATGATGGGATAATACTGGGAAAATGGAAAAATTACCCTCTGATTATTTAACATAGCCATGGAAAAACCCTTATAAATGGAGGTGTCTAGCTGGGAAAATCATCTATAAATGGGCCATTTTCCATGGCTATGTTAAATAACCAGAGGGTACTTGGATTTGCTGAAGATGATTTTTTTATTTTCTATGGTTTATGACTGGGTAAACCATCTATAAATGGTTAATCCATGGTTGATATATGGATAATCTATGGTTAATGGTTAATAGTTACCCTCTGGTAAACATACAAAAAGCTATTGAACATGGCACATTTATAGTGGATGTTCCCATTAAAAATGCTAATTTTTCCCATAGTTATGTTAGTTTACCAGAGGGTAGGGAGGGAGTTGTTAACGGCAAAAAGAACAGTTATACCGTTTTGGGGGTTAATAGGGACTGAATACCCCGCAAAGTTGGACAACATTCATAAGTTCATGGATCTGATTCAACAAAATCGGCCGATTCCTGTTGTTTTTCCCAATAACTTCGAATTTGACCTGCATCCACCTCCTTTCAACTGGATGTTCAACTGCATTTTAACAGCTTTTTGCAGGCGAAAAACAACAGCCAACTGATACTTTGGGGCCCAGTGTAGTGGTGGTGGTTTGGTTAGGAATCTGTTTCATCATGATGCCCATATGCTCCATGTATGGTATATTTACCTACATCTGGGTGATTTTTAGGGCAAATGTTAGTAAAAAATTCCATACATGGAGCATATGGGATGTGGAACCTGAGATTAAAACACAAACCAAACAAACCAGACAATAATTTGTTGAAGTTTGGTGATAATCTGGATTTTGTTTAAGGTTATTTTTATTTCCCCAATAGGAAATCCACCATGACTGGGGAATCTAAAGTGAATATTTTCTATGTTTTGGGGGACCCCGAATCAGCAAATCCAAGTTGAAGTGTCATAGATACCTAGATATAATATGGTGTGATGCTAACTATTGATGTTATGTACATATTAATGTCCCATGTCAAACCACAGTGTACTTTGCAAATGAAGATGGTCATCGCCCTACGGTGGGCAACAGTAGTGGTCAACAAAGCCACTAGGAATCCCGAATTCTGTCGGGAAGACCCCATGGGCAGCAACAGCAGTCACCACTAGGGGAATCAGCAACATATGTATATCCCATGCGCATTTAAGTCTAAAAGAAAACATGTATATATGTACACCCAAGCCATAGAACATATGTGAGCACGCTAGGTACATATATCCAGTGGTTACTCGGCAGATTTCCTCTGACATGGCCATGAATCCGTTACTCTCCCATGGTCAAGTCATTATACTCCCAGAAAGGTGTTGATTTGCCACACATCATTTACATAATGTACAAAAACACTTCCGTATATAGAGAGAACCCAACCCATACCCTCTCTCTCTCTCTCTCTCTCTCTCTCTCTCTCTCTGGTAATCAAGCATACAGTACTGGTTGGTGGTTTGGAACATGTTGTTTTCCATATATTGGGAATAATAATCCCAACTGACGAACTCCATCATTTTTCAGAGTTGTAGGTATACCAACAACCAGACCATAATTAACCAATGATTAACCATCATTAACCACTATTAACCATTATTAACCATTAACCAAGCAGTTATTCATTGTTCAGATGGCAGATCACCGCGTTTTTGAGATGGAAAATGATGCTTTAAGGATGGAGCATGATACCATTATTAACCACTATTAACCACCATTATCCACCACCAACCAGACTATCATGTACCTATTGGTTGTTGAACCACCAACCAGACAGTAGCTCTGGAAAATTTTCATGTTGGATAGGGAGTTCTCCAGCTCTCATCGAAACGGGCCGCACTACATCCCGATCTCGATCCATCACCGTTCGATTCCCGAAAGATCTCAGGAAATCCCATTAAAATCTTATTAAAATCCCATTAAAATGCCATTAAAATCTATTAAATCCCATTAAAATCCCACTAGAATCCCCTTAAAATCTCATGAAATTCCAATTAAAAACCCATTAAAATGCCATTATTCCCAGCATCCCATGGCTTTTATGCCCAGCATCCCATGAATTCCCCATGACCCACGAGCCACGGGTTTTTTCAAGGCCCCGACACGGCTCGGTGGGACGGATCTGGATGTTGGATGGCAAGGCCAGGGAAGCTCTGGATTTCTTGGGAAATGCTAAATCAATGGTGAATCATGGTTAATATAAATGGAATTCACCATATATTAATGGTTAATATATGGTTATTACATGGTTAATAGTGATTAATGGTGATGAATGGTGATTAATGGTGATTGATGATGATTAAACCATGGGTTAATGATGAATATGATGATCAATCATGATTACTGGTATCTACATCAATGGTTAATGATAATTAATGATAATTAATGGTGAATAGAATCAATCTATCTTGGTTTGTAAGTTGATTAATGTTGGCAACTGATTAGTGTGAGGGCCCCCCCCTCAAACTAATTTAGTATACTGAATAATTCGCAGTTTTTTGCTACCCCCCCTCAACATGTTTTTTGGATAGTCAACTTAAGTAAGGATTTCAATTGAAATCAATTTACTTTCAATTGAAATCAATTTACTTTCAATTGATTTTCAATTGATTTCAATTTACTTTCAATTTACTTTGAATTGACTTCAGTTGATTTCACTTTACGTTGTTGGCCACAATAGGGTACCATCCAAACCTTCATACTATTGAGTAACTGAGCCACTCATGAGGTACCTCCTTAAAAAAATGTTTGGATGTTGTTTTTAATAAGGGTTTAATAAGGCATCTAGTTATTTGGAAACCTTGCATTTGAAAGCTTTAATATTTAAAAAAAACTAAAAAAAACTGAAAAACATTATTTATCAATTAATTCAAAAAGAAATTCAAAAAGTAGGAAACATTTTTTAAAACCTGTGAATCGAAAAAATGCAAAAAAAACTGAAACAAAACTTGCCACGATAGAGCCCCCCCAAAACATCATGGAACTGAATAAGGAAGAAAAAACTTGCCACACTAGGGTACCATCCTACCCATCGGGTGCCAACATTAATGGAAAATATTTGTTTAATGATGATTAATGATGATTAGTGGAAAATAGATGGATATGCCCTAAATGCTACCAATCATTGATTGGGTTAAATTCATATATTTACTGGGTCAATCTGGTAGCATGTCATCACAAATTCACCCAGAGGGACCATTATTGGGTATTCACCATGATTTGTTAGCTACCTAATTGATGGTGAATATGATTAATGGTGATTAATGGTGATTAATGGTGATTGATGATGATAAATATATATATACTATTTTCCAACAATATTGGATAATATATATATGGCTAATATATGATTATTAATGAATATTCCAACAATGGTTGGTACGTTGGTGAAAGATGGGGAATATAAGTGGAATTCACCGATATATTAGTGGTTAATTTATGGTTATTATATGGTTGGTGACGATTAGTGCCAAAACAATATATTAATCATCAACATCATTAACATCACTAACATCATTGATCATTAACATGTTATTTCTGGTTGGTGGCTTCAACCTGAACGGTGAATATGTCCTAAATGCTACCAATCATTGATTGGGAAATTCATATATTTACTGGGTCAATCTGATGGCATTTCATCACAAATTCACCCAAGGGAACCATTATTGGGTATTCACCATTAATAAATGGTGATTATATGGTGATTAATGGTGATTCATGATGATTCATGATGATTCGTGATGATTATTATATGTTCATTATGGGATTAATGATGGTTATTACATGTTTATTTTAGGATTCATGATGGCTGCCTCATTGATTGGGGATAAGTATAATTTACGCCATGATTGACGGAAACTTCTACAAATCTTTGTTCGCAACTTGATAGTGTTTAGATCATCATTTCCCCCGAAGAAAAAAATCAATAGGAAATGGCTATTATATGGTTAATATATGGTGATTATATGATGATTAATGATGATTATTATATTGTTATTATGAATGATTAATGATGGTTAGTGCGGATATCCATAGGTGCTAAAAAAATCCATAGGTTTCCAGAACTCCACAGCTCCTGAAAGGTGCTTTGTGCTGTCTTAGCGCCTGTCATGGAGCTTGGCCAAGACCCTTTGAAGCAGCTGCTGAAAAAGGCTGTGGGTGTAGCACATTACCCATGATATCAATCCCATAATTAGATATGAGGATAGGTTGCTGGTGGATAATGGTGGTTAATAGTGGTTAATAATAGTGGTTAATAATGGTTAATGAGATATACTGCTTGGTTGTTTCAAATATTGTTTATTTTCCCTTTCGTATATGGGATGTCATCCTTCCCATTGACGAACTTTCATTTTTCAGAGGGGTATACCTATCAAAATGTGTCAAAACCTATCAAAAATTACCCTCTTCTTATTTAATAAGAAATGGCAGATTTATAGTGGATTAATATGGTCTAATATGGTTTTATAAGGATGATAATGGGATAATGATGGGGGTTATACTGGGAAAATGAAAAAAAAACACTCTGGTTATTTAACATAGCCGTGGGAAAATCCCTCATAAATGGAGGTTTCTAGCTGGGAAAATCATCTATTTCTATGGGCCATCTATACCATGGCTATGTTAAATAACCAGAGGGTATTAAATTACTAATTGATTACCATATGACTGCGGGAATAGCCATCCAGTAACCATCTATTCTAGGGTACCTTTTAATTTAGGTACCAGGCTTTTGGCTCAGAACGATATTATCCTAATTGTTTCTATCATCCCATGTTTTCTCGAATCTTCATCGAAGGAAGTTTAGAAATCAAACTTCCGACAATATGGACAGATGAAAAGCAGAGCAGGGCAGAGGCAGAGAGAAGAGAAAGATTAGAAGAGAGAAGATCAGAGAAGAGAAAGAGTCAGAAGAAAGAAGATGCAGATGCGCGAAAAGGTAGGAAAGTCGCGAAACACGGTGTTTTTCCAATGATTTGGGGCTCCGGAGGGTCGAAAAGTAGGCTCGCTAAAGCGGCGGGTGCGGAGCCAGCTGGCCAGATGAGAGATGAAAAATTGCACGCCGTTGTGGCGCGAAGCACATTTCGAAGTGAAAATGTACAAAACACACCATGGTCGGACCACTTTTGGAAGTTCAGATGTCGAAAAAGTGCACGCCGTTGTGGCGCGAAGCACATTTCGAAGTGAAAATGTACAAAACACACCATGTACGGAACACCTTTGGAGATTCAGATGTCGAAAAAGTGCACGCCGTTGTGGCGCGAAGCACATTTCCAAGTCAAAATGTACAAAACACACCATGTACGGAACGGACCATTTTTGGAGGTTCAGAAGTCGTTTCGCGTGGCAGGCGCAAGGGATTGTGGACCTTGTCAAAAGTGAGCAAAACGTGAGGGTTTTGTAGCATTTTCAACTACAACTTCCACTACACTACACTCCAATACATTACACTACACTACAATTGCAACTACAACTACACTTCACTACATTCTACTACACTACACTCCACTACACTACACTGCACTCAATTACATTCAATTACACTACACTCCACTACACTACACTGAATTACACTACACTACGCTACATTACACTACACTACACTACCTTCCACTACACTACATTACACTACACTACACTTCACTACACTACATTACACTACACTACATTACACGACACTCCACTACACTACACTTCACCTACACCTACAAATACACTCCACTACACTAAATTACGCTACATTACACGACACTACACTACATACCACGACACTCCACTACATTACACTACATTACACTGAATGACACTGCACCACAGATAGACAGGTAGACAGATAGACAGATAGATAGATAGATAGACAGACAGACAGGTAGACAACTAGACAGATAGACAGATGAAAGAGAGAGAGAGAGAGATAGATAGATAGATAGGTAGATAGATAGATGGATAGATAGATAGGTAGATAGATAGATCGAAAGGTAGTTAGATGAGAGAGAGAGAGATAGATAGATAGGTAGGTAGGTAGGTAGGTAGATAGTCAGAGAAAGAGAGAGAAAGAGAGGAGACCTCAACGACCTTTCGGTCCATCAGTGGCTTCGCTCTGCCATCCCTGATTCACAACAACCAAGCTCTCCTATAGGTTTCCTATTTTTGAAACTTCCGCCACCGCCTTGTGCGGTACTACTGGTAAACCATCCTCAGGTTTACTCTTGGGTGCACCACGCTGTGGTGATGATGTTTCCTATGACCCCCAGATGTTTGCTTAGTGGGAGGGCTGATGGCATTGGGTTTGCCACACTAATCACTATAACTATATTGTTATACATGCCAGATTATTGTGTTGACATCATTATTTCACGAAAAAATGGTGAAGAGTCGGCAACATCTTGCAGTGCAGTCCGAAGCGCAAACTATTGTCTTGTACTAGTAATTAATATATTGTCTTGATACTACTCTTCTCGTCATCTCGTCTACCTATAATACATCTTTCATTTATTGTCTTGTACTATGGTGTCTCCATGCTAACAAGAGAAGACCCTGCTCCTCTACGCTCTCGGGCCATCCGTCGTCTAGTCAGGATGATGATGATTCTGATGACGTAGATGATGACCACAATACTCATTGTGAGATATTGTTTATGACAATTCGTTGGTCACTGCTGTTTTACTTGTTTGTCAAGTAATGAATTGTCATGTGCGTCTCCCTTTGGCCATATCCTGCACCACGCTAGCACGCCGCCCGAGGTCTGAGTCTGAGTGGAGGAGGAAAGTGGGAGCGGCAGAGGAGGAAAGGAGGAAAGTGGAGGGAGGAGGCGGAGAAGAGGAGAGGACTGGAGGCGGAACTGGAGGCACCCCTTGTTGGCGAAGGCCATCGTGCACGCGCTGGGCACAACCCAAAAGGCACTGCAGGCCTGTACTTGCTCTTCTGCGAGTACCTCTGGAAGGAGTTGGGAGAGGACATGCAGTGCGCACCGACCCCAGGGTGGAACTACAGCCCGTCCTATGGCCCCGTGTACCTTTTCACGGAGAAGCAGGTCTCCAAGAAGAAGACAGAGGTGTGTACCTCTCAAGGCACGTTTTCCCATTTTTTCTCAGTAAAACCAAGGAAA